CTACACGTACGCAGTGAGATACATTGTATAGCTCGTCCAAGCGCCCTACTCTTCTTCATTTTTCTGGTTTCATTCTCGTCCAGCCCCCTTTTTAACGGTTTTTCGAAGCCTTTCTTCACTTTGGAAACACCGATGCACGCAGTTTCTTCACCTGAGTCGCACTAATTTCGATCTTGTCTTCCATTTTTCATCATAATCTCCATTACCCAAAATTATCGTGAACTGTGCCTTTAACTGTCAACGGATCTGCGCCCCTTCGCACTTTTGCCATTCTTCTGTGTCACACTTTACCCCACGACGCAAACTATAAGGATACATGGGCAGTTCTTATCTCGCTCTTCGTATCAAGAATCGTCAACGTTCTGACCATTACTCTTATAGTTTAACGGGATTGCGATCAGGTCGTTTATACAACAGATCAGATTTGATTCGGATAGGCGTAACCAACTGGACAGTCGCTACAAGGATGGGCTCATTTCTCCTTTCGAGGCACGGTAGACTACTTGAAAAGACCGCTATCTCACCTTCGCTTTCCCTCCGTTCCACCACTCCTCTGTCCTCATTCCCGAGAATGATGGAGTGAAGGTGAGGAGAGAGAAAATCAGCTTCTCGATCTTACCTTTTTTCGTTGCTCTGCGGCCGTCATTAGTCACTCCCACATTCCTGCGGCCGTTTCAAACCCAAGGCCATTGGCGGGAGGCCAGAAAAACTCGCTACTGCAGAGTAGCGGGCAGTCGCCAACCAGCCAACCCCACGTGAAAGTGTTCACTTTATATATAGTCGTACTCCCTTTCGTGAATCGATCACAGTTGACATGTCCTTTCATTTCTTCCTTTTTCTCTATCCTCCTTCCTTTCCTCTTCTATCTTTCCACCCTCTGGGAACGAACTTCAAACATCTGTTATCGCCGCTCGGAAAACTCCTGCTTAACCCTATTTCTCGAACTTGCATATTTCGGTATTTCCTGTCGGAATTACCTCTCCAGCCGCATTGCCAGTGTGTTTCTACAAAGCGCCCTTCAGTCATCCGGGAATGGTGGTAGTTACCAACGCTAGAGTCTCGAAATTCTCATAATGAGAATTTGCTAGTCAGATGAAGAGGTTAGCAGTTGCCGTACGGATCTTGTCTGGATTTCAGTCTCAGTCTGTCGTTATGGAGTTCCCCTCCATAGTAGCTTTGCTGCTAGGCCAATAATCGAACTTTTTTTGTTCGTAATCGATCAAATCGAACTTCTTTGCATTGAGAAATATGAATCTGTTGACACAACCTCGTCGTTCATCGATTGCTTTTGGAAGTGATTCGCATACCCAGTTTCCTCCCAAAGCATCCCGATGAAAAAGCACTTAAGTACATCTGATCGTTGATTGTCTTCTGTTTGTTTTCCAAATCTCCAGACCCAGAGTATTCTCCCAACTGTGACCCATTCAACAAGTATTCGATTTTATCACAAAATAACTACTTCCCGTAGCGAACGTCAGCTTGGTAGGTCCGAAAATACAGCGAATCTCTCTGGGAGAGCGTGACAAAACTTGGGTAAAAACCTGATTTATATTACCCTTTTCCTACGAAAAATGACCAAATTTGTCGCTTTCCCCATTCAGCTCTTAAAACATCCACAAATTTATGGGAAGACTGGCTGTAAGGGCACTGGGAAGCATAGCGAACTGAAAAGGAGTGCCCTCTGTTGTCAGTACATCGATACAGGTTTTTCGAGCCAAATTCGGAAAGAACTAGATTAACAATGGGTAAAGTCGGTCGGACAGTCAAAAATAGGAACAGTATGGGTCCTCAGGGGTCTGCTCCCGTTACGGTAATTCAAAAAATACGGTGATCATGGCTGGGCGAAACCACTTTTCTGTAAGACCTGCTAGTTAATATTCTGGAGTCCACACTGAAGCCGTTTATTTACAAATATCTCATGAAATCTGATCTTAGCGATGGCTACGCCCACGTTTACCATATCTCCATCAGTCATGTTATCCTTGTGATAGATTGACTTGGTATTTCAACGTTTTTTTGTAAAATAAGTATACTATTCACTATCGTTTCCAGAAAATCGGTCGGCAGCCGCCCTGCACAGCTGAACCTATAGACACTCTTCTATGCTTAGCGCTGAACTCCATCTAACCCTGGTTGGCTCAGCTCAAATCCGAGGCCCGTTCAAGATTATTTCATCCCCTCACGATTCATGGTTATCTGGTGGTCGTTGCCGTTTGGAGTGGTGCACAAATAGGGTTACCACGATTAGATAGCTTATCATTGAGCAAACACAGAGCAGCTTGGAAGACATCCCGCGGAATTGTGGGAGCCAGGACGAGGTATCCAGTGGGCAAACTTTTTCGTTCAAGTTTCGTATGTTTCGTATGAGGCATTTGTGTCAACCTTCTTCACTGGTATCGAACACTGATTCCGTAGGTTAGGCAAGCATCAGAACTCGGCATCGTTTGCAGCTTCGGTTGTCTACCGAAATTGGAGTGAAGTCTACGTTTTACTGAGGTTCTCCTAGAAGAGGCTCAAGCCACAGCTACTAATCATTAGCAGAGAAACCGAGGAACCTCATAAATAGGTTGATGGTGTCGATCAATCCCCGTGAGATGGTCTATGTACTAGACTTCGACATTGAATATCAGAGCGAACCGAAGCCGAGGTCTGGAAACTTCTCCCCTGGGAATTCTGGGACAAGCTCCGTTACCCCTGATGCCATATTTGGCTTGAATGCATTGGGTGCGACAATCCGATTGTGCTTCGATTTATCTTCGAACTCATGAAAAGCAACTAAGGTTGTATCGGGTATGGAGGAAGGTTAGGGTTCCTTCACAAAGCCTTGGTAGTTCGATGTAGACTAGTCACTGTTGCGTCGTTGGGGGTGAAGTCGACGGAAACGGAATCAGCTGCGGGTGGGTGACTGTAATGGGTCATCAAGATACTCTCTTGTTTGCATTCATGTTTTTTCAATTACTCATAGTCGTTGACCAACACTTATCTTAGGACATCTTTCTTGTTTAGCACCAATGGTTAGGGTAAACTCATGGGAAACTCAACATGGACGGCAAATTGAACCTCGGGTGCTTTACTGGTAATCGTCAAATATTTCTACCAATAGAACCATTATTTGTCAAAAATTCATGCATCATAAGAGGTCAGTCGAGTCATCATGCCGTCCTGCATCCTTTGCTTTGCGAATTCCCATTTTGGACGAGCAACTTCGAGTTGCTGGCTTCTCTGGACCCCCGGTGGTGGAATGTCCTTAAGAGCTTTGTCTAGTGAGGTCGTCTGAATAAAATAACACCTGGTTGAGCACTTCCCTGTGATCGTCAGCTTCATCATACAATAAAAAACAGTCAAGCTTTAAAACAGCCACTGTCGCGGTTTGCGTCCTTGGGCGTTTCGTCGTCGTGCGAAGGGCATTCGACGGCCCGAAGGACACTCTCGCGTATGCTCATCACATCATACATATGTAAGTATGCGATAGAAACGTGGTCCACACAATTACCCGCGAGCCTTTGATCTGAACCTCGAAGGAACGGAGCTCCCATGACGTGGAACACTTGATATTACGGGGAAGTTCCAGTACTGTCACGTGCCAAAGTCTGGTTTTTCTCCAGCCGGTACAAGATTGGGTCTAGTGGGACAGAACTGGTCGCAAGATTGGGCCTTCAATAAAGATAGGTAGAATTGGCTCGAGCACCAAGGTTTCTACATATTTCTGAGGTCAATATGGATCTAAAACACTGGAAAAAATCTCTGAAAGGGGTGGGCGTAG